ATAACACACTTAGCACTAGACCTTCCTCCCCCTCCCTTGGATAGACAGCATCCAGCTCCATACTGAGGAGCTGCTATCTGACACCCCAACCTTGCTGTTCGACCAGTTGAGAACATTCAAACTCAATGGGAGCCTCTACATGTGCAATTAACCCAAAGCAATAAACTTCCGTGAGTTTATTACTCTTGGATGTTGCAATTGCATGTGCACCTGGGATGGCAGTACATTGAGCTGGGGCAGATCAGCCCCAGCTGGCAGGGAGCCGGGGGATCAACCTGCTAGTCCAAGGCTGCCTGCATCCTGGCTCAACGTGCTGCGGAGGAGCTGGTGGGGGTACATGGGTGCTCCAGCATGAGGCTAGCCGGTAAGCAGCCCTGCACTGAAGCACCCTCATGCCCCAGCCAGTTGGGTCTGTGCCTACACCTGTGTTGCTGCACATGCAAAAACTCCGGAGAAAGGTAGTACTTGTATTCACAAGCACTACATGATGCTGAGTTTATTAGTTTACTGCAACCTAATAGGACTGAACGTGTAGACACTGAGACGTTTACTGCAGAACGAACGAGGCAGCTTTGCAGCGAACATCTCATGACGATGTGCCCCGTGCCATGTTTAGGAATCAGCTCCATGTCTGGAATAAGAAAACCATTTGTGTGGAGCCGAGACAAAGTGTGGTGGACTCCTCTCAGGAACTGGACACGAGAACGTAAAACAAGCAGCTCAAGCCTCCAGGACTGAGAGGAGACACCGCGAGAGTCAGAATGACCTAACCCCACGCTGCGGCAGCCTGTTCGCTAGACACACTTGGACGGAACGAATGCAAGAGCTCCCAGCGGGCAGCCATATGTCCTGGAAACCGGCCCAACGAACACGCTCCCAGCTGGAGTGTTAATAGCAGGGCTCACCTCACCCAGAAGTCTCGCTGACTTCTAAGAAGCCACGGGGTTCCTAGAAATGCTCCTCTCCCTGTCTCCAAAGCCACAGGAGCTGCCCCATGCTGTAGGGATGTGCTCTGAATCCACACTCCCATGTAAAGTCTAAACATCTCCAAGCAGTTGAGACAGCAAGGAAAACTGAAGGTGAATGGAGTGCATGCCAGGGCAGTGCTGTGTCTGCTCAAGTCTGCATGGCCTGAAACAACAGCTGCAGACTGAACCGTGTCTTACCGTCTTGCCGGGGTGTCAGCAACGTATTCCACATTATGCACATCTCAGTGACACCATTAAGCACTTCATTAATGGCCATTACTTCTGCATCCAGCTCAGGCACTGATCTCCCAAACCCAAACTGCCTCTCTCAGCTGCCTAGCAGCCTAAACACCTGGCCTGGCTCCAGCGTCCTGCTGCCAACTCTTCTAGACAGGCAAGTCCAATAAAAACCGCCCCTCTGCAGTCCTCCGACTATGCACAGTGGGGCCAGCCCCGAAGAAACGGAATCGAGTATCCGGTACCTGGGGGAGGGGATGCTGCTCGGAGCATATGTATTTCTAGATTTAATTCAGTAGCAATCTTAGTTTTCAGGACAGTCTGGCTTTGACACCGGAGCTCCTCTCTGCAGCCCTAACATGCAGTGCAGGGACCTTGCCACATGGTTTAGCTCATGTTTCCTATGGAGCACACAAGACCTTGCTTACCGATCCACACATTGTGACTATGCACAAACCCCCACAAACAGAAAACAGGTGGTTGAACCCTAAACAGTAAGCCAGTTAACAGTAAACCCAAATCATCAGTGCTCTCTCCCTAGTCCCACCCTGCTTTACTCCTGGGCTTCTCAGCAGAGTGCACCTCACCCAACAGCTATAGCTAAAGTTGCTGTATGGCACTGGCTAGCGTGATAATGAGCTGGTATTTAGGAAGATGCTCCTCTGCCGGCACGCGGAACAGAGCTTGCTTCAGGGCTGACACTACCTCTTAAGGACGCACAGGAAACAAAAGTGATTCCTTGGTCCCTACCCTTCTGAGGTGTCAAAAATTCAAAGTCACAGGCCAGCCGTTCTCAGCAAATCCCTGCCTGCTGACAGACCCACAAGGTTTGCATGCTGTCGGTCTTGCTTTCAGCAGTTTCCAAGAAAGGCTGCCTGATGCTCCATCTCATGAAAGGGAGCCACCCACATGACTATTGGATTTGCATTATCCATCCGGACAAAAAAGAGGAGACGAGATGCTAAAAGTGAAGGGATATGAGTGTGGTGGGGGGAGGCGTGTGTGAGGGGTGTCCCTCCATTGCGAGACCTAAATCTCATTCCCATGATTCAGGGGCTGTCTCACATTGTGCTTCAAAAGGTGTCAGAACATACTGGGCGCTGACTAAAATAGGTTCCAGACATCTCTGCTCATCGTCTCATCGCCTGTTTCAGAGCTTAACATAGCAACAAAGGTCTCATGCCACACATCTCTATGGCTCAACTGTGCAGTGTGAGTCCCTTCACTGCTCCAGGTGGGAATGCAGCCCAACCACAGACCTGCCACGGCTCCTTTATATTCACGCGTAGATCCCAATATGGTTTGGCGGAGATTTGGATGCAAACTCCAGCCCGGGGTGACTTCTTGCAGACTCTTGGCAGGCCCCCTCGCACCATCTCTCTGGACTGGGTGTGCCCTGGAGTTCCTCCGTATGCTTAGAAACCCCATGAAACTCTCTGCAAACAACGGAGAAACAGAGACAACGATAAGGAAAGCAGCCAAGTGTGAAAGGACCCGGCCCTACCCATCCCAGAGTCAAGCAGTGATAAATTAATTGCTGTACATGAATGGCCATCTCGTTTCACTCATTTACTTCCAGCTTTCGGTAACGGAGGTTGGCTAACTCTGGTCTCTCCTGTCTCCACATTCGGGGCTTGCTGGCATATAGCTTGGGCCACATTCACAGGTATAATGCAGCTGTGTAAAGGGGCCTTGCACCGGGTCATCTCCTGACATCCGTGACCCTTTACATAAGAATGAGCTCTGGCAGAAATGCAAATCCAGCCCGAAATCTTTACTTGGTCTCTTGAGACTGGATTCACCTTCTTCTCTGCACGTGGTTCAGTCAAAGCCCTGTCTCACAGAAACATCTGGTGCTTTCCCTTACATACAGGGACTTCAGCATATATTTTCACTGAATAAAAAGCTGGACTGGAATCGAAACGGAAGCACATGGCAGCCCCAGATGCCAATGTGCAAGAAGTTCACGGCCATAACAGGCAGAACCAAACTCACAGCTTGGATCATCCCCCAGCTCTGGTGAAGTTTCCTGCCAAGATAAGGTCTGACATCCAGCTCAGCCCCTTGCCTATCTAACCCATGACCCTCTTCCCCTGTTGCGGAAGCAGCATCCCATCCACTCCAACTGCAATGGATTCAGCTGGTCCAGTCAGGACTGCAGGCCTCTTTTCTTGAGCATGTGAATCTCTATTAGACCAACAAGCTCCTTGTTAATTTTACATGTACAGTTTATGCTCTAAATAAAGCACAAGATCACAAAAATATGCTGCACTGGACACTGTGTTATACTGAGCTGAGTGCAAGAGTGGGAGGCAGGGGGCATCTCCACAACCAGAAGATATTTTAATGAAAAGAGAGATCGTCGTGTGTCCAATTTCTATTGACATGGAGAAAACGTGTGATTGAACGTGGGGCAGTGGTGAAGTTCACTGCCAGTATTTAAGGGTAGGTTCAGATCTCTATGGCGAGGCAAACTTTTGCTGAATTTAACCAAATGGTTTCTGAAAAGAAAGTTTCGGGGAATTAAGAAATGCAGAAAGGTATGATTGGATGCCGAATTCAAAGCCTGGAAACAGGTCAGGAAACATTGCTATTAGGGCAGAAAAGCTGCTCCAAAGATGGAATTTAAACAAAAAATGGACCCATACCATCGCCTTCGAGCCCAGAAGCAAACACCCAACTTGGGCCTGTCTTCTCTCCCTGGCGTATCTCTAACCCCGGTGTATGGGTAGCTATGGCTACTCTGGCAACAGGTCAGAGCTGTTCCTGCCACCAATTACTGCACAGTGCCACATTACACTTCACAATGAGATTTTTGAGTCTGGTTTCATTCCCTCACCTTGTCTTGTAAGCCTGCTCACGCTGAGATGAGCAGCCCCGGACAGTCTTCATGGAGCCCAGGACAGCTCCCCGGCAGAAGGGGGAATCTAGAATACGACAGCAACAGGACATTTAATCTACAGGAACCAGGTGTTAGCTGGTCACGGAGGGCATGTTACATATCTCTGGACATCCAGGGATGACACAGACTCGACACTGACCTCCACCCCAGTTGCTATAACTTCTAAGGCCATTTAAACATGCTTTGCAATGACCCTTTCCTCATATGCAGCAATGAGAAGGTGTTTCTTGCATCCTCACTTTGCCATTGTCTTGCCAGAAGAATAAGAGAAGTGGAAGGATCAGCTGTATGAATCCAGAGCATCTGCTGAGACTTTTAAAATGATTCATTTCTCTGGCTACTTCAAAAAATTAAGGCTTAAGCCTGGCACACTGGTAAGTGCTAGGTCTGAGATGTCTCAGGTTGCATTAATCTAGGAGGGAGGGAATGGAGCACAGGCTACACTATCAAGTCCCATACAAGTGCCTGACTGTCAGGGCTGCAAACCAGCCAGCAGGGAAACTATCTCCCTAAACCACCGTTGCAGTGGAAACAATGATGAACTCCGAACCACAGCAGCAGTCTCAGGAGCGGCTGTGAGAAAGCAAGGATGGCTCAGCAAGTGACATACAACTTCCTTAGGGGGAGGTCCGTTTAAACCATACAAAAATGGGATATGGATTGTGTTTTCTGTTGCAAACACATAGAAAAACTTCAGGTCTGGAGCTCAGGAAATTTGTACATCCAACAGAAAAAGCAACCAAAACTCTGAAAGACTGTTTTAGGTCTCAAACAGGGCGTTGGATGCAAAGCGAGACAGATGCGTTGAGTTTGACTGTTTAAAAAAAGTTGTGTCCCTAGAAAAAGGAAGGAGAGAGCAGAAGGAGGAACTGAAACTAGGATGCTCTTTCATGCCCATTATCACTGCATAACTCTGATTTTTATTTGCTGCATCATCCACATCCAAGGGTTTCCAGTCTCTTAGTAACCATATATTTCATTTTCTACCCAGGTCGACTCCTTGCTTCTCCCCACCCGGTCACTGCACAGCTCGTAGATCTCGTTGGTCACAAAGCCACTCTCAGTACTGGCCAATGTCACAAAGCCGCTCTCAGAAGTGTTCACAGCCACGTTCTCATAATCCCCGGAGAGGTTATCCAGCATATTGTCTCCGGGCGAACGGAAGGAGGAAATCTTAGTGTCAGGCCTGGTTCCAGCCAGATCTGCTTCTGTTTGTTTCTTAATTACATTGTAAATCTCCAGATTGGGACTGTTTGGCCTTTGGGGAGAGAGCCAGACATCCTGCTCCTTTGGACTTGCATCTACTCGGTCTTGTCTCCTTAGTGAAGGAGGAGGGAGGGGGGGAAAGAAAAAAAAAAAGACAGTTCCTTATCTGTTCCTCTAAGGGACAGGTCACAGAACAGTATTGCACATCTCTAACTATATACTCAATGGCGGCATGTCAGGATTGTTACCACTATCAGCCTGGAGTCAAGGACACATCATTTCTTATTTGTAGCTGCAACAAGGGCATTACTGGTCTGATAATTTCCCTATCATACTATGCTCATATGACTTGCCCATTCTGACCTCACATGAGTGGGACAATGTGAGAGAATGAGAGAAACGGGACTGTGAGGAATCAGGTTTCAGCTCCAACACGATGGGATCCTGCTCTGGATCTGCATCTCTAGTAGCAGCACCAGGAAGGAGGACACCGATGGCATGAGCTCATCGGGTGCCCGTGGGTATTGCAGCAGCTGGGTGCTGGCCAAGGTGCTGAAGTATCTGAGCATGTGACTACCCACTCTCCCACTCAACAAATCCCCCCAAATCTCTAGTTGGTCTGAAATGGGGTGCCAGGTGCTGACCAGTCAAACACCGTTAGGGCAGTCTAAGAGCATCTTCATTCACACAACTTGGTAAGATCCATGAATGCAAGGAGTTGTGAAAATCAATTACTGCCCACCCGTTTCCTTTTCCTACTCTTTTGCTCATCCATTTAATCTGCCCTCATATTTGAATGCCCCCCACCCCACACCCCAACAGCCTTGCCCAGTTTCCTCCTAAAAACTCCCTGATGCAGCAGTTGGTCCATGGAGCAAACAGTGCTTTAACTGTATTCTCTGTTCCTGTCTTTTCATCTCGAGTCTGAAAAGAAACGGGTCTCTGAGGCCCATTCACTCCTTCGTTTCTGCTGATATGGATACTAATTTCAGTGTGGGTCATGTCATCTCACCTGGCCAGTAGGAACAGGACATTTTTACATGGGCCAGTGAACAGTTTCATTCACTAACACTGTGGCCCATGTTTGAATTATCGACTTACAATTCCCTGCTCTTCAACAAAGAATAGCCTGGCATCTCCTGTGAGTGGACTAGGGTAGGAGGCAGAGTTTAAATACAATTTCAGTAAAAGATATAGCATTACACACATTAACAGTAAGTAGCAACACAAGAAGCCATTAGCTGTTTTCATCTCATTCAGTAACGCCACTGGGAAAACAGTGGATGTTGTTTTGGGAGTCCCATGTGCACCTTCTGCATAACGTTTTAATTTAAGTACAGTCCTCATCTTGATTTAAAGACTGAGCAGTGATAAGGGTAGAGTGACTCTGTGCAGTTGTGTGGGGAAGGCAAAGAGAAGATACAGGAAAATAAAATGCTATGGGTACAATCTGGACAAATAATATTTGGTAATTCTAGGGAGAAACTCCCAAACTATCATTTTATATACATGTTTATGCGATGCCAGAAATACTGCGTGGTTATAATTTGAATAAACTAACAGGTTTACTATATCAACACTGCAACATGCAAAGCCCATACTGCTTTTGTAGGCGTTATGCAGACAAGCTGCACATTTCTGAACTGTCTTGCTTGCACTGATAGGGTTTAATTGTAAAGTCTGCAGCTAACTGCAAAAAGGATTCTTGGGCCAGACAAGACACAAAGGTTCATTTTTTGCTCAACAATGTCACTTGCCTCTTTGCGAAAAGCCAAAAACAGAAGATGGCTGTAACGACCATCAGGAGGAGGAGCAGAGGGATGCTGGGGATTAAGATATAGGCAAGACTCAAAACAGGTTCTGGAGGGAAAAATATGAAATTACAACTTTTATCCAGGTTGCAATGCATTTTGCATGCACAGAGTATTACAGAGACATCAACAGGTGTCTAAGGCAGTGCTGCTTAATGCTAGAAAAAAATCCCCAGTCCTACTCGGAGCTATCGGCAGCTATCCCCCATCTCACAGTGACAGTTCACCTACAGAACGATCTCCCACCTCAAGCATAGCGAGTCAGACCAAACTGAGCTACATGAATATGAGATAATATATTAACATACAGTAATTAATATAACTATACTACTGTATTAATTATTATATATTAAATAACCACAACAACCAGTTTAGGTTTGGAGCTGTAAACATGCCGACCAAAATTTTCCATCATGGATGTCTTGATTCAGACTTTTATGTTCATGGTTAGATACCCAAATATGCAGCTCAACATTCAATGTCAGTGCAAGTTGCAGGCATGTCTACAGGGAGAGGGTACGACTAGCCATTGAACGTGCTGCCTACCTTTGGCTTCTTTAAGTGTTACATTAGCCTCCTCCTTAATCGGTTCTCCTGGGGATGTTGGTTTCAGGGATCCTATGACAACATCTGGGATAAAAGATCTTGGTTAATATTGTATTGTAATATTTATTAAGTACTGGAGGATATATTAATCTCTCAGCTGGGAATAAAGGAACCTAATTCTCCTCTTTTTGCATGAATACTGGGACATAGGAATTTCTTGACTGGGTCAGAATCATGATCCATCTAGTCTTCAAATATATTTAGTACAAGCTATGTCAGCAGTACTGAAGAGGGAGAACCTGTCTTCCAGCAGGATGTGTGAGATAACAGGAAGGGAAAGTGGCAGTATTTAAGCCAAACTGTAAATGCCCTAAATTTGTTAGACATATTCCCAGAGTTGGACAACTGGGTGTCATTTCACTCAGTCTAATCTTGTGAAGGTAATGATGGATTTAAGGAATGAGACGTGGTGTCTTCTGAAAGGTCCCAGCATCCATCAGAAGGAATTTCAGAGTATTGTTAATGACCAAGCAACACATTTCCTTCTGCCTCTACTCAGCAACAGGCAGGCTAATGTTCGAACTTTCAATACATCCAACTTCAATCCTCTTCTCCCTTCACACAGCAAGAGGGATGAAGTCAGTCCACTAGCACCAACTTGATGCCTTTGACCTTTCAAATGCAAATCACTAATTTAAAGGTCATACTTGCAGGTCCAAACGACTTTGTACAGCTTTGGCATCGACTTGTCTGGCAGCCGCAACCACCAGTTTAAGTCTGAAGCTGCGAAGACGCCAGACAAAGTTTTCAATCGTGGGTGTCTAGATTCAGACTTCTACATTCGTGGTTAGATACCTGAATACGCAGCTCAACATTCAAGGTCAGTGGAAGCTGCAGGCATGTCTACAGGGAGAGGGTACGACTAGCCATTGAACGCGCTGCCTACCTTTTACATGAGCCTCCTCTTTGATCAGTTCTTCTGGGGAAGTTGGTTTCAGAGACCCTATGCCAACACACAAGGTAAAAGACCATGGTCAGTATTGTATATAATCATTAAATACTGGAGAAACTCAAGGAGATAGTTATAGTTATATATATAGATGTCAGAAAGAAAGGAGAATAAAGGATTCAGACACTGCCATCTGCAAACAGGATGTTTTAATCTTTTCTTCTTTGGACGCGAGCTCCACAGCATGGCAACGGGCTCCAAATCCAGCACCAACACCATGCCAAGCCAGGCTGCTGCCTATGGGGTTTAGGAGCCAACCAGAAGGAAATGCTAAAAGAAGGAAACCCTCTCTGTGCAGTGGCTTTTCAGTCTCTTGAGATCTGTGCATTTAGGAATGGAAGTGAATATTTTTACCAATTCCCTGCCCCAAACACAAGTGTCTGGGACTTACCCTCATGAGAGTCCTCTTCCGGGGCACTTGTGGGCTTTTCTAAAGAAAAAACAATACACGTTTACATGCTTGACTAGAATCACCCAGTCTAGCAAATGCAGCGAGAGAACCTTGTGTTGGCCTTTGTAAAGGCGTGCTCTCCCCTCAGGCCACAGTTCATAGATGTTTGGGTCAGAAGGGATCTCAGTAGTTCATCAAGTCCGACCCTCTGCCCTGGGCAGGAAAGAGCGTTGGGTTAGATGATCCCAGCCAGGTGCATGTCTAGCCTCCTCTTGAAGACCCCCAAGGTAGGGGAGAGTGCCACCTTGGTTGGGAGCCCATAAAAGACTCTGAACATTTACAAAGTCCTTTGAAAATCTCTTGGAGTCTCTAGGTCTGTCCATTCTCACAAGGCCACTAACTAAGGCAGTATTGAGACCCTCCTGTTTAAAGGACTTTATTCATGTAAATGCATTTGTCTCCCTGTACTGAGGAGACAAGCTGGGACAATGTCATCTGGTCAGAATATGCCCTCCCTTGGGAACAAGAATACAGACATTTTTACACAACGTGGAGTAGCTCATTACCAAGAGAATATTTGCAAATGAAGTTATTCTTCATGTTGCATCGGTCATCGTTCCACTGAAACATATACGGACCTCCGACACCGGGTGGGGCAGAGGGCTGGTGATACATCACGACGCAGATTTCGCTCCCGCAGGAGGGCTCATCTTCATACCAGTTCCTAGGAAAACCAATCGAACATTGCGTCAGATAGGATGCGGCTCCCTACAAACCTGGAACATATAGCATAGGACCCTGAGCAGCAGTGATAGCACAACTAGAGCTGTATCGGTTTGACGTCCATGCTCTCATCAGCTGGAGACACGCTAATGCTAATAATAAGAACGGCGTGTTGTTTCACAGCTTTGTTTCACACCAAACTTGCAGGTTCAATCCCTGGTTGGACCAGATGATCTCTTGAGGTCCTTTCCCAGCTGGAAAGGACATTTTCACAGGACGGGAGCTCTGAAGCTGAGCTGCTTAACAAAATGACCTTTTGCTGTCAAGAGAGTATTTGAATACCACTTAGAGATCTCAGAGCTGGAAGAGAAGGGGAGGCCAAAGGACATAAGGGAGTTAGGTACTAAAGCCCAGGGGAATCCAGTGTGGGTTGAGCATCTCACTCCCTTACTCGCAGTAGACCGAGGTAAACTCAAGGTTTACTGCAATTTTAGGGCAAAAACAGCTAAGGCCAGAGATCGTAAATCTTCATTGCCTACATGATTTTAACTTCCATTTTCCAAGGAAGTGAAAAAGCTGATGCAGAAACTCTTTTCCTCTGGCTAGAAATGCACAAAAATGAAAAACCCGTCTTGCAAGTGAGGCTTTTTCCAGCAATAACAAAATACTGCAGCTGGAAAAAGGACAGCGCCTTCCAAATGGAGCACTGGCAACCTTCCTTTGTTATTTAGCACCTCCATTATGTACCAATTACTGTGCAGGCATTTTAGCACTTACACTGTTAGAAGAGTAAAACTTTTAACTTTATATAGCTGGACTTTGGCAAAATGTTCGTTCAAGAGTTCAGTATCCAAGGGCTCCTAAGAGACATTAGGCAAGTCTCGTAGCCACAGTGATTTACGCTCGCTGGCCTCAATCTTTTTTGTCCTAAAAATATACAGAATCGGTCAGAGTTTACCTCAGTCTCACTCGCTGCGAGTAAGGGAGAAAGGAGCTGGCACACGTGGAAACCTGGCCCCTAGAACAGAAACAATTCCAGATCTGTCAGATTATTTCACAAGGGAAACTACTGGACAGATGTCAAACCAAAAGGCTTGCATTCATTATAAGGCATTCTTTCCAATTCTGGTTTCCAGCACATGCAACTTTGCTCGTTGTATTACAGGTTTCTCAATGGAAAAAAACAACGTACGTGGATCCCAGCGTTCTAATACAAACGGTGATTTTATAGAGGAGATGCTAGTTACTTGAGAAAAAAAAGTGTCGATCTACCACGCTGGGCCACATCCCCTGGTAATAAGTTGGCAGAGCTCAGCTCCTGCAACCAAAGTCAACTGAGCATTGCCCATTCGTAACTGCAGGGGATCTAGGCCCAAACTGCCACCATCTACATTCAGGGATTCGGACCAGAGAGGGTACAGGGGAAGGATCCCTGAGACAGGGTCTCTTTGCAGCTCAGGACAGAAGCTGCACACAAGTTGCAGCCACAGATCCGGTCCATCTCTTGACCAGCAGTTCACAGGGGGAGCCGTAGAGGCCAGTTCTCCTCACATCTGGCTTTGCTGCGACCTAAAGGGTGAGCATTTTCTCCAACAATTCGCCTCACTTTGATCTCAATATGCACATGCACCACGCTCCTCTCCGCTTGCTGGAAGATACCAACATCTGCTTTTCCTCCACTCTCTCAAACTCATCCTAAGAAGTCGAGAAAAAAAGAGCAGGCCCTTTCCCTTACTGTGGCTTATCGATCTTGCGCTAATCGACAGGGTATTTTAATGCACACGGAAGAACTCCGATTAAGACTTTGCCATATATACCCAGTTAAGTGATGCCATAAAATATTTAATTACCGTTGGGCTATTTAATGAAGTAGATTGCTGCAAATGCTGCAAAACTTGCCAGATAATGAAGGGAATAGTTCCCATGCGTTCACTCTTTTTTTTTTTTAAAGTAACTTTAATTAGCAGTTCTGCAGTAACTGCCTCTTTGGCAAAACTTTCTTGAACCAGCAAATTCACTGCAGTATTGGCCTCCTGTTGCTTAGGCTTTCAGGGCTCTGGCTGCACTTGGAGTATAAATTATCCTCTCTCTATACCCAGAAAACGCAAACTGCTGATGGGTTCATTCTTGCTGATCTCCTAGAAAGCTGGGCCTTACAGGCAGGCTTGGCTTTTAAGGCTAAACACACTCTGGTTCGATAATAACTAAACAGTGTTTGGAAGCTAGGAATGTATCAGGATCGTGTTCTGTAGCACGGTATTACAAGGGCATAATTGCAGAAATATTCAGGGACCCCCTTTGCTTCAAGGCAAAAAAATCTACCAAGCCCTGTAAGGATCTCCATGAACTCTGTATTTCTCAAGCCCTGTTCTCTCTTGCTCTAATCAGAGGGTGTGACCCCTATCGTGCGGGGGAGCACAGGGGTCCTGCTGCTTAGGGTCAAACACCACTTTGTACATGCTTCGGATAGGACTTTAATGCTGCCAGGGCATGCCTGTACTGCCTCTGTGCTGAGCCCAGCAATGCCTCCTCGCTCACCCCCCCTTGGCACGCTCCAGATCCTGGCAGTGAGGGGCGATAAGACAACACAGCACAGCCCCTAGCGCGCACCTTGGGTGTGTTTATTGGTGCGCTAGGGCAGCGACATGGCCTCATCCTGGATTTGGTGTGCTGTGCTTCTCCGTAGTGCTCTGGGGCTCAACACAGAAGCAGCGCACAGAAGACTACTACCATTACCGAAATCCGGACGAGCTGCCATCAGACCACGCGTACAGGTCCTGACAGTCTGTGCTGTTATCCAGGTCTTCCCCTTTCCTCCTCAGGCCTATCCAGAAGTCTCCATCCGAAGCCAAGAGCCCCTCAATAAATTTTTCAATCAGTCTCTGCTCCGCTTCTGATTCAATGCTAACGAGGTGCCCGCCATCCCTTCTGCAGGCCTGATCAGCTTCGGCAAAGCTGATCCTCCGCGAGGTGTCATGGAAGTACACTATCTTGTAGCAGGGGCGCTGAGTTCCACCCCGGCAAACTGTCTGTCCTGCAGAGAGGAAAATAAGCTAGTTACAGAGACGCTGGGCATTAGCACAGAGAGCAGGCAGATACCGTCCGTTCTCACGCCGGGTGAGATTTGCACACTGCAGCAGTTTGTATAAAAGTCTCTCGGTCCCCCTCCTACACATAAATGAGGCAAAACTGGGTATTTTCAGACTTTGCTTACTGCACACCCTAGTCTAGACCGGTCTGCACAGCACTGCTTTCTCAGATGCGGGACTCCCCTGCTTTACCAGGTGCTCT